TGCCTATAATTATGTACACAAATATGGAATGTAAATATTACTTGACTGATATAGCATAGCCGTTGTCCTGCTGCACTGATTTTGCTTGATTTGCTGTCTTCCTAATTCCTTGATTAACTCCACTAACTTTCTTATACTGTGATTGCTCATTCTCCTCCATAATTGTCAGGTACATGGCCAGTGAGTTAATTATCACTTAATTGTAAAGATTAATTCCAAAACAGTGAGGTTATTCATTTACACTGGAATAGGACCAGACAAAGAGTTTCCTCTAAGCTGTAAAATAGTAAGTCTTGTCAATTTTCCTATGGAAGCTGGGATTGGACCAGAAAGCATGTCTTCGTAGAGAGAAAGAATACTTAAACTGCTTAGATTTCCTAAAGAAGCTGGGATTGGACCAGAAAGCATGTTCTCAGAGAGAGAAAGATTGTTTAAACTGGCTAGATTTCCTAAAGAAGTTGGGATTGGACCAGAAAGCATGTTCTTAGAGAGACGAAGATTGTTTAAACTGGTTAGATTTCCTAAAGAAGCTGGGATTGGACCAGAGAAACTGTTATCATGCAAAGCAAGATTAGTGAGAGAGTTGAGAAATCCTATTTCTGATGGTATTGAGCCAATTAACTCGTTATCCCAGAGAAGAAGAGTGGCTAAACTGGTTAGGTTTCCTATGGAAGTCGGTATAACACCTTTGAGATTATTTCCTAACAACTGCAAGTCGAGAAGTGATTGAATCATTCCTATTTCACGAGGAATAGAACCAGAGAGCTCATTTCCATAAAGGTAAAGATGTCTTAAATGGCTAAAATTTTCGATTGCTTTCGGTATCATACCAGTTAGGGCGTTATTGGAAAAATCAAGCAAAATAAGATATCTTATCATCCCAACTTCTTGAGGTATAGAACCATTGAGCCTATTGACTAGAAGGTGAAGTTGCTTAAGTGAACTCATCCTTCCTATGTCTGTTGGAATAGAACCAGATAGCTCATTTCCAAAGAGGTAAAGATCTCGACAATTGCTTAAATTTCCTATTGATGCAGGGATTGGACCAGTAAAGGAATTCAATGCTAAATGAACCACAAGAAGTGATCTCATCATTCCAACTTCTTGAGGCAAGGAACCGCTGAGGTTATTGCCACTGATTCCTAGGTAAGACAAATTGCTTAAATTTCCTACAGAAACAGGAAGTGAACCATTAAGTTGGTTCCAAGCAAGGTCAAGTGCGGTAAGCAAACTCAACCTTCCTATATCCTTGGGAATATTTCCAGAAAAATTATCATTAGAAGACAAATTTAAAAAAGTGAGTTTGGACAAGTTAACGATGTCAGAAGGAATGGCCCCATGAAGTGAATTATTACCAACATCAAAGCGAATTAGGTTGGGGAAGGCCAAGAAGTTAAGGTTGTCGAGTGTACCTTTGAGACCAAAATTTGAAAGGCTTATGTTGGTGACGCTTCCAACTCCATCACAAGCAATTCCAACCCAATTGCAGGGGTTGTTCCCAACCCAAGAAGAGAGGAAGCTTTGGCTTTGGTCGTCAAGACTGGCTTTCCATTTGAGAAGAGTTTCTGTTTGATTAACTAAAGAAGTGGTGGAAGAAGCGGAAGTAGAAACAAGAAAAGACTGGAGCAGCAGGAGGAAGAACATGGGTGATGCCATAATACCAATGATTTAGAATGCCTTGGGGATACAATGCATGCTCTTGCAATGACAGATATTTATACACGTAAATGAGTTAAAAAGGACGAAACAAGTGGGACATCACGACCAATATTTCATCATTTTTAATTTTATCTTAATGCTCAAAGAATCTGTCCTAAGAAAAAAGATAAATAA